ACCGTACAGTGTGGTAAAGTAAACCCGCCTTGTTTCGCTTACCGTACAGTGTGGTGCGGTGTTCCGAAGAGACAATCCAGAAGCTCAGAGATCACTTAAAACTACCACATCTGATGGTTTTTTCGTAAGAACAGTTTGTAGAAATATTTCTCCGGGATTCATTCACTCACCACCGTTTATTTTAACTTCTGAGGGGCATCGTTCCCACAGTGGCGGTGTTTCCCAGACAATACTAGACCAGTTGGAACGTTAGCTATGGTGACGACGAAACCTCTTTATCGTGCAGTGTTGAACCGGAATGCACTTTATGAAAATAGATGTACATGTAATTTCCATGTGATCTAACACAATGTATACACATCATAACGAGGGCTAGCTCCCCTGCCGCAAATCACTTTTGGATTACTATCTAATGAGACTCGTCTTGCTTAATAATTGGCCTTAATTTGTACAATTACGGGCAGAAAAACAGAGCGCTGTATATAAATTAGCCTTCTAATGCAGCTATTAGTGAATTATAAGTAAACTTTGCTATCAATTGATCAAGTCACGTAATAAGTAGTTCAGAAATTTCGGACACCAAATCTTTTCATGCAGCTTAAATTAGGACCACGTTTCAGAGATTTAGAAAGCGCGGCCATGTTTCAGAAGATTATAAAACAAACACGTTCTTCGTGCCTGCCATAAGTTCATGTCACGTGTTTCCATGTGTCCACATTTCAAAAGTTTAGCACGTACTTTTTGCCATGTTTTAGTAGATTGCGACACATGATTTCCCGAACGCGTTTACAAGGTTACGACCAATGTGCAGAATGAATTTTTTCATGTGCACCAGTATCAAGGCAATGTGCGATACCAGGTTTTTTTTAAGGGGGGGGGGTGTTTTTAGACTGTCAACTCAATTGGATCATTAGGCCGCTTTGCAATTCTACCAGTTGGTTATTTGGGCTTCAGGCCTATCGACTGTCAGGGTCATTAAGGCCGTCAACGTGTTGAGACTCTTCACCATTACTGAGGATGTGCGCGGCTGGAATAATGAAGCGCGCGGCACTTGATTGGTTGTTGTGAGGCCGCGCAGTCTGAAGGAAACACTGGTTACGACACATGCTTTCCTTAACCCATATTAGAAGGTTATGACACAATATTTCCTTAACCCGTTTTAGAAGATTACAAGACATGATTTTCATAACCCATTTTAGAAGCTTATGACACATGCTTTCCTTAACCCATATTAGAAGGTTACAACACATGATTTTCATAACCCGTTTTAGAAGGTTATGACACATGCTTTCCTTAACCCATATTAGAAGGTTATGACACAAGATTTCCTTAACTCGTTTTAGAAGGTTACAAGACATGATTTTCATAACCCATTTTAGAAGCTTATGACACATGCTTTCCTTAACCCATATTAGAAGGTTACAACACATGATTTTCATAACCCGTTTTAGAAGGTTATGACACAAGATTTTCATAACCCATTTTAGAAGGTTATGACACATGCTTTCCTTAACCCATATTAGAAGGTTATGACACAATATTTCCTTAAACCCTTTTAGAAGGTTACAACACATGATTTTCATAAACCGTTTTAGAAGGTTACAACACATGATTTTTATAACCCATTTTAGAAGGTTATGACACAAGATTTTCATAACCCATTTTAGAAGGTTATGACACATGCTTTCCTTAACCCATATTAGAAGGTTATGACACAATATTTCCTTAACTCGTTTTAGAAGGTTACAAGACATGATTTTCATAACCCATTTTAGAAGCTTATGACACATGCTTTCCTTAACCCATATTAGAAGGTTACAACACATGCTTTCCTTAACCCATATTAAAAGGTTATG